ATCATCTCTCTCTGAAACAACTGGCCCGTAGTCGATGCTGCTATCCGTGTGGTGCGACAAGGAATCACCGTTGCCAGTGGCCTCGTACTATGCGAGATCCCGTCGAAGCATCTCCAAACGTGGATGCACCCGCAGGAAAACTGCAACAGCATCTACTTTCTCGATCCAGCAAAAAAGGACCTGGGGGTTGAAACAGGAAACAATAGCAAACAAGTTTTCCTGGTCTGCGGATTTCCCGGGGCTATGTTAACGATGATGCAGTGAATTCATACCCTGGCTGGTCTCTCATGCCCATGGCGTCGCAGCCAACTTCCCCTTCTTTCCGCGATGTTGGGCAGCCGCCCTATGGCCTCCCTTCCCCAATGGCATACCTGACACGTCTATTATTTGCTCATCCGTTGCGGAATGCTCGCTGTTACGGAATCCATCTCCGTCTCTGAAAATAGCACCAAACAGTTCTGAAATAGACGATGTGAGTCCTTGGAGAGCTGCAATGCGCTCGACATCTGCGTCTGACGTGATCTGCAGGAGACCCTCCTGCTGGTTGACTCGACCGTTGATCTTGCCATCGATGATCAGGAAGCCCAGGATATCTTGTACCTCGGGCTCAGAGATCTTGAGCTGCTTGGCGATCCAAGATAGCTTCATGCGTGTGTAAGGTGCAATAAGCTTTACAACACCCTTGGTGCGCATGTTTCGCGTGACTTCATCAATGTTCTCGGCAATGAATGGATCATCTAGGATGTCCTGGTTACGCTGCAGGACCTTCTCGTACGCGTGTACATCATCCCGCTGGTAAGCGTCGACTAGATCTGTCATGGCGGAGATTCGCGGATCTGTCTTGTAGGGCTTGGTCTCTTGCGAATCGAAAGGGTTGATGTCGGACTTCATCAACATAGTCGTCAAGAGTAGATACTTGAGAACCTGGATTCGCTGCAGAGAACCTGCTTCGTCGTAGTTACGAAACGATTCGAAAAAGTCGCTCTGAGCTTCCTTCCAATTCTCTTCGCTCATGTGCATCTTTCCACCGCACTCCCTGATGATGCCCATGATTCTGGGATGTGGTACCGCGGATTTGACTTTGAGAGCTCTTTGATACAGAGCCTTGAGCTGCTTATTGTTCTTGGTCTCTGCAAACATTTGGATCTCAAGAGCGTAAATCTCGAGTGAATATGTACCCTTGCTAGGGTCGTCGGTACCATCTTCTTGCTGGCAGGTCTTGTGGAGCTCTCTAAGCTTCTTTGACACAGCACCGTACTCCTTGCGATCGAGGAGCAACTTTGCCAGCTTGATGTTGGTCTTGAGCCATAGGCGCTCGTTGTTGGTGCTCTGGAAGCTCTGTAGCGTGAGGGAGTAGAATTGCTCCATACACTTCACTGCCTCTGGGCCATCTGCTCCCTTCTCAATGTAGTCGAGCATGTTGTTGATGGACTTTTCGGAGTAGTTGCGCGTAACGGCCGACTTGACGTAGGTGAGGAGTTCAGCATAATGTTCAGCAGCCTATTCTTGTCAGCGATATTCTTGTTCTGGCCAGCGAAAAGTCCTACCTTGTCATATTGACCCAGCTTGAACTCAAGCTTTATAGCCTGCTTCACACCCTTGAAACCCCATTCTCCTTTCTCCTCTTCGAGTGGCGGAATGCCTAGGAATTCTGCGATCGCATCTTCGGGATCTGACAGCTTGAGCTGCTTGGCATTGTAGTATTTGTTCTCGATATCGACATCGGCGGTCTCTTCGTCATCGTCTTCTTCGTACTCGAAGTCGTACCTGGGCGTAATTAGTGATGCACTGCGTATGCGCGGCTGAGCTTGCGTACTGCTCCTCATCTGACTCCTGCATGAAATCCTCGTCGTCCGACATGGTGAGATAGGTGTGATCGAGCGGTCAAACAATATTATCTGTGGAAATTGCGATACAAAAAGATACGGTCGGGTCGGAAGCTCGAGAGATGGCAGACAGAGGAATTGTTGAAGGAAGATGAATGATGAATGTTGGATTGGAGGTTAACTTCCACAGGCTCGGGTGGAGCAGGCAACCGCGGGGCCGCTTATCGATAAGGTGGAGCTCCAGTGCAACACTAAGGTTTGCCAGACCCATGAGATGGACAAGATAATTGCAAGTGACAAGTATTTGACGAATTAGTTGCTCATATATTGCAACCTCTAAATTGGTCTAAAAAAACAAAGTAAAATACCCTAAGATCGTAAAATGCCAGGAATCCTGCTTATTGTCTTGTCCATCTCCAGCCAAGCGCTAGCCTCAGCCCTCATGAGCTTGAGCAACACCAGAAGTTGGTAGCTTCACTATAAACAGCATTACAGCTGTCGCCATGGCCATGAGGCTGGTCACCAAAAAGGGCAATCCCATCCACTGACCACCCAGCTCAAAACCGCGGCCCAAGAGCCAGCTCATTGCGGGCGCAGTCAACCCCATGATGACCTCAATAAGAGATATAGTAGTGTTCAAGGTAGCGATGGTATGTGGTTCGACAAGAGCATTGATCAAAGCTCTGCTGAGTGCCACGAAAGAGTTGCCAACGCTGACAGTGATGAGAGAAACGACAAACAACCATGGGACTGAAGCAAGACCCATTAGCAAACATCCAATTGCCATGATTGTGATGGCAATGCGTGCGAGCAGCAAATCTCTTGCCACGGGGCGAGATTTGTAACGACGACTCTTGTTGAGGAAGTCGGATGTCACGGGCAGAATTATGAGGTAGCACACCACTGTTGCTACGATGCCAATGGTGGAGATATATGTTGCCTGTCAAAATGTTAGAGGATGCAACGTAGTGTTGACGAAGAGACCGACCTTTGACCATGACCAATCGAAGCGTTTGCTCATGTACTGCAACAACACTCCCGTAAGTACAGTCCGAACCGGGAAGAAGAACGCAATAGCAAGCATGAGCATCATAATACTCTTCGACGCAAAGATAAACCGCCAAACATGCTGCATATCATTCTGAATACTGAACCAAGCTTGTTTCAACACATTATGCTTGCTCAAAGAAACTCCATGAAGCTCTTCATTCTCATGCTCTTCATTATGTCTCTTGTCATCCTTGCGTCGAAGATGCATTGTCTCAGGGATGAGAAGAATGCACATCGTCCCGAAGACCATGAAGCCGAAGCCGACCCACATGGATAACCAGGGATCGAATTGGAGAAGCCATGCGGATATGGGGTTGAAGATGACGTTGAAGATTAGGACTAGGGCGACGAGGCGGAAGAACATGTCTGTTCGTTGGGAGACGGGGACTACGTCGGCGACGATGGTGTAGACCATTGCAACGGCCATTTGACCTCCGCCGCCGATGAGGTAGAAGATACTGCCGCCGAGGATCGCCCAGATTGAGAAGATGTTTGGGAACGATACTGAGATTGTGAGTATGTGTTACGAAATGGGACAGGGAGCACTTACAAACTAACAAGAGCCAAGCTGTTGATAGGCAGCATCCAAGCATTGCCAGAAACAAAACAAGCCGTCTTCCATACTTATCAGCGACAATACCATATGGAAATTGCGTTATAATTGCTAGCACAGGTTAGCAGATATCTTTTACGCCGAATGGGTTACGTACGAACTCCCATCTCGAAAGCCTGTTCCCAGCCTTGGACCATAGCCAGAGTCTTCTGAACAGGACTATCCTTGCACCGATGATCATCTATATCAAATGCGCCGATTAAATGATCGGGATAATGTTGTCGACAAATGATATCCTCAGCGATCTTTTTGGTCGGAGGATTCATGATGAACTGGCTCACTTCAACCATGAGAAGAGCCAGCATGCCCATGGCCAAAGCGCGTCGCCTCAACGATTTCGACGGCTCATCATCTTCATGTGTGCCACTTGGCAATAAAGGCGACTGTTCCGTTGGCCCTTCATCCCCTTCAATCCCATGATTGCTCTCAATATCCGTATCATGGACGTTATCGTCCGTAAGTTTCGTTTGCGACGCCATATTCCAAGACGCGCCAAGAGTACTTTAAGGAGTGAATATCGCGACACTCAAATCGCAGGTCAGACCAGAGTATTATAACATATTAAAAAGAATGACGATGATAAGGAAAAAGGGAAACGCGCCATCGCAGATTCAAGTTTAGGTTGTTCCTGGAACTTTTGCGACAAATCCTTGCAAATTGATTGGCCCAGAACACGGTGACGTCTTTGCTGACCCTGGAGAGATTACTCCGCCTTATCGTGACGCCAACCAATGAAGACTTGTCCCTGAAACAAGCTGGCTTAATTGAGGCGGACACGCAAGCAATACCACGAGGTGCTTACGACTGTCATTTGCAAGTAGAGATTGGATTGGGATTAATGTTCTCTGATAGGAAGGTCTGAACTCAATTCGCTTTGTTTATGGCCACGTCTTGTTGAGTGCTAACGTATGCTCTACGATTGCTTATTCTGCACCCCCAGACTTGGTAAAACCAACTAGTTGAGTGTCAAATGCGGGGAGACTCGGCCGAGGGTGTCCGGAGGCTTGGATCGGCGATCCGATGGCATGACTGGGGTCTCGCTCCGGAGCGGAGCCCGTGGACACCGTTGACGGGCCGGACGCGGCCGGTAGCCCACTTGGCTCAGCCTGATAAGGCGGCGTTGAGGTCCATAGTCTATAGGGCAGTTCCTGTGACGCTACGGATACTCCATGTTCGGACCTTCAGAGACATGCATGGATATCGATCAGTGGCTAGTTTGGCTACTTCATATTGACTCACAATCCCAAAACTCGACGCAGGTCGCGTTCTCAAGAGAGCGATAGCGAGGACATCAGTCTTCGCAATGGCGGGCGGTCTACCATCCATGTCTTGCCATCGTGTTGAAGCAGGAGGTCGCATTGCCCTCTTGCCTCGCAGAAAATGATCCTGGTCAGGGCGCTAACCACTGTAATATCCACCGTCAAGCATTGGATGAAACTATTGCCTTCTCAACTTCATCGAACTACATAGGGACTCCTTGACCAGCTTGTCAATCCACATCCGCTGAGCCAATGACTGCCAAAGATCCAGAGTTTCAGGCTCAATGTCTCGAGCTTATCCGTGGGATTAAAGCCACGCACGAGAAGCAGAATGATCTCCTTGAGAAATTGGTGACGCTCATGGCTGCTCCTACAGTTGAGCTGAAGCCAGCACATCAACACGATGGGAATAGCCATGAAGAGATTGATCAAGTTCCAGTGCAAGGCTGTGAAGTCAACGTCGATGAAGAAGAGCCATCAGATGATCTCGGCTTTGCAGCGCAACAAGATATCAGCTTGGACAGCATCCTTCGTTTTGCATCTCATTCATACAAGAAACGACTTCGGCTCTTCGCAATTGAACAAGATGGCCCACAGCCATTCCTCCTCAGTTCTCAACTACCTCCCTCACAATCTTCTTACACGCTACCTCAGCAGTTAGAGTACATTCCGCGGCCTCCAGAAGGTGGAGATGTCATTGTCAATGCCACTCAGTCTTGGAATTACTGTAGGTGAAGCTATGCGATACCACCACCCTTATTGATACATCGACTGAACAGGGTATCCGAGTGATTATGATACACAGCCTCCCGGAAGCAAAGTTATCAGCCCCATCCCAGACTTCATGCCGCCATGGCAACTTACTCGCGGAGAAAATGAAAAGTGGTATCACATCGACGACATAGACTTCGAGTTTCCCTTGACCGCACCAGATACATTATCACCAGTGGTCGGAACATACTGCGAAGTCCCTTACTCTTTCTTTCCTGGACTGCGTAATCTGAACATGGCTTACACGCGTCGTCAAGGAATCACATACGGTGGCTCGGGTGATTACTTGATCGAGACTGCACTTACCGAAGCACATCGGTATAAGATTCGTCAGTCACTTGGGGACTTTTACGCTGTGCCTCAGGATGGTCGACTTCCTCTATCGTTTCATACGAGCGAACTTCGCATGCAAGTTCGTCATCGACGGACTCGTAATGATATCGACCGCAGTCTTAATAAATATCTCGAGCCCACGCGTGAGCTACTCAGCAAGCTTCATTGGTTCACCATCATTGACCTCACGGCTCCTGGGGGCTCTCAAAACGCGGTATATAGTCTGCGTGCCAAATCATCTCCTTTCCAACATGATTCTCCACCATCTCGTGTTGAGGGGCCGCCTTGTTGGGAGATGATCCAACCAGCGCTTCAAAGAGAAGGCAATGGGTTTGTGTCATACCCATCAGTCATACAAGATCATCCAACTCAGCCGATACATCGCCAAGGTCGATGGTGTCGTGTTATTCAGCTTGACGGCCTTGCAAATATCACTGCCGGTCTTATGGAGGAGAAATGCACCCGGTATAACTCGAGCATCGTCTGGAAGCTTCTCTTCCAAGATAACCAGCTGAATTCAAGTAAGGGTCGTGCTTTTCGTGCCACAATGAATCAACATCTACTTTGCAGACCATCTGCAAAGGACTTGCACGGGTCCGAAAACGTCCCGTGGAGGTCATTTCACATTTCTTGGTATCAACTCTGTACACAGCCCACTGATGCGGCTGTCAAGCAATCTACTTGGAACTATGGACGTCTTTACGGAGAAAAAGGGCCGTATATCAAACAGCAGGCTTTTACTTTGGGGTGCGCTTATCAAGATCTTCATAGGTCTAATGCTAAACGTGACTCTTTCTGGACAGTCTTGATCATGAAGCCGTCTGTCGCTGATTTTGATCCGTATGATGTCCACAAAGTCCCTCGTCGAACATACACGCCTCAGAGCGATGGTCGACGATATCGCTCAGAAGATATCATGCTCGATGCTATTCGGACGAGTTTACAAAAAGCAGCAAATGCATGGAGTCGAATGCAAGTAGCCCTTGATGCAATCGTCGATCACGATCCTCTATTTCTCGACCCCGTTCAGCATGACAATCTTTTATTCGACGACGATACGTTCTCAAGATCAAGGCAATACTTTTGGATCGTCAGTTGTCTTGAGTCTTTTCTGATTCTTATCGATGATGCTATAGAGGAATGGAGGAGGTTTCGTACAGACTGGCCTCATATGATTATGGAGATAGACCCAGGTGAAGAGCCCAGAACGGAAGAAACACCAGAGGCGTTGACGCGAAGAGTTGTGGGTGAGATTGAGGCGCAGGTTGATCGATTGAGGATCATATCTGCTCGTTTTGAGGCAAGTCGCGATAAGACTAAAGCTCTCAGAGAAGGTGTATGTATCCCTCGGCCGAGTTCTTCTGCATACTAATGTGTCTCACACAGCTCTTCAGCGCCAGCGGAGTCATCGAAAGTCGTGTCTCAACTCGTCTAGGCGAAAATGTCAAGCTCCTCACATACGTCAGCATCTTTTACCTCCCACTAAGTTTCTGCGTTGCTCTCTGGAGTATAAACGAAGGCTACCCTCGACCAATGCTAGCGTTAACATCAGTCCTTGTCGCAGCTGTGACGTTCATCGTCGTGGCGAATTTACGGAACATGGCTTCTGTATGTGCTGTCGCATATCGTGGTGTTAAAAGACGGATTGTGAGACGAATGCATGGGAGTGATGATGAGAAATGGGTAAAGAGAGCAACGGCGTTTGAGAGTTATAGACCTGAACGGTTGGAAGTTGAACCGTCGGAGTGGTATATCTTGTACTTCTTCGTATACTCCATGTTCAGCCAGGCAGCTTCTTGGATGAAGGATCAAGGCCGGAAGGTGAGGAGTTTGTTTCGTTCGTCGGAGAGCGAAACGAGTCCTGTCAAGCAGAGTACAGTGGTGAGAAGTGAGTCATGGGCAACTCCAAGCTCGTGGTGAGCTGGACCTTTCTCCGTGTCCGTAGGACTTGGTGGTTGACATCTTTCTGGACAAGGTTTTCCTTTATCCTTGTTTCATATCATCGACACAGCCTCGAAGGAGTGAGATGCACTGCCTTTTCATGGTTCATTTGCCATGGATCAACTGTTATCGGTTTATGCGAGTCCTCCGGAGCAACCGTGTTTGATTGATCGAAGACTCTGGAGCTTTAAGGATTTCATTAGCTTGGTCTTAGGCAAAGCCGTGGCATTTCAACGTTTGACTCTGCAAGTCAGGATGCCTCGCAGGGCTGGTTACTGGATCGCCATTGTTGAAACATTAGTGCTATCTTTCTTTAAGAAGCTTCTGTTTCAGTCTTGGGAGTCTTTAACGATAGATTCTTCATCTTAATGCGAATGGCGACAACAAGCGGAACCTCGGACTGCTATCCTGCTCAACCCAGCCCCAAACCCGCCTTCAATCCATCCTTGATCACCATCAAGATCTACCAATCACACAAATCTCACAGCGAGCAACTCATCGTCGCCGTTACATCCCCAATCTTCTATGGAGACTGAGTCTTGGCTCAAGGAGTATTTCGCCCTACGACCCCTGTCAAGATGTAAGCTCGTGGGTCTTCCCGCTCCTGAGCTTAATTTCCTCGACAAGGTATCTGATCCTCGAGTCCATCGAGCCTATCACAAGCTGCTTGTGCGGCTCTTCTCATCTTAGCATTTATGGGACGACGTATATGGTTCAATCACATGTTGGGAGGGTATCATGTTTGATCCTATAATCCTGCAGGGGAAATGGAAATGCATAAAAGTTTTGAAAGGAGGATATATAAGGTCGACAGATCAGCTTAGAACAGTATCTTCATCCAAATACTCAGATATCATCATTCATCATGTCTTCCACCAAATCCCTCCTCGCTTCTATCCTCGCCATCGCCCCTCTGGCTCTCGCCCAAGACCCATCATGCGATTGCTACGTTACTAAGGGCGATAATCCCCAATATTACACAAGCCACTCCTTCTTTGACTTCCGCTCCCTATCCCAATACGCCGGTGTTCCTCCCCTGATCGACACAATCCAAGGCAACGCCGAAGCAGGCTTTACTTCAGATTTCTTCAACTGGGAGTCTGAGTTTGCTCAAACCTGGGGTCCTCAGAAATGGAACAACGAGAACGCAGAGTTTCCTATGCAGAACACTTATAATAATCTGTACATTGAGGAGAATGATGACGTTTCTCCTGCGAGTGATACGTGGTTGACTATGAGGACTGCTCGTCATGATGGGTTCCAAACTGCCTCTGAGTTTGAATCACTGGAGAAACATCAATACGTCTCGCTGAGAATGTATGCTCGTACAAAGGGTTCGCCCGGTGCGTGTACAGCTATGTTCACCTACCTCAACGGTGGCTCCCTCGCTCTCGTCCAAGAAGCAGACATAGAAGTCCTTACCAAAGACGAGCCCACAATCATCCACTACACAAACCAACCCTCCTACACGGACGAGGGCGGTGAAGTCGAAGGCGCTCATCTAGCAGCCACACTCCCCGATGGTCTCAAGTGGACAGATTGGGCAAAGCACACTATCGACTGGACGCCCGATGCTACGATCTGGAAGGTCAATGATAAAGAGACCTGGCTTAATGCGTTCCAGGTGCCCAGAGATCCTGCACAGTTGAGCTTTAATGCGTGGAGTAATGGGGATACGTGGACGGGTACTATTCCGGAGGGTGGTGTGGCGTATCAGCAGATTCAGTGGATTGAGGTTTTGCATGGACGGACGGAGAAGGGTGCTTGTAACAGGGTTTGTAGTGTTGATGAGGGTGAGGCTGGGAAGGCTGTGCCTGTTTAGAAGACAGCATGCTTTCTGGTGATCTTGTATCATCATTTCATGTACATATTTGGGGATGATAGAGAACGTACTTGTGCTTTCAGTCTGGCATCCTGACGTGAAGAGACATCTGCAACCAACTGATTCTAATTTTAACTTTTCTTTCATCCTCTATAATCTTTCAGTCGACTCATCTACAGCTTAAACCTCTGCGCCAACAAAATGCCCTCCGCCAAAGTCCCAACCCTCGCATCAATCGCACAACCCTCCCTCTCCCACGTCTCACACATCCCCCACAAATCCGTCAACTTGACCGTAAAAACCTCAATGAACTCGCCCTCCTCCAATTCCGGCTTCAGATCCTTATTTTCCGGCAGCTCCATGTCGACACTAACATGCACCATCTTCAAGTTCGTGTTACAAAACCCCGGGTCGTTAAACATCATGGGCGAAGTCTCAGTAGCGACGCCGACGTAGCCTGTTTCCTCGCGGAGTTCGCGGATGGCGCATTCTTCGGGTGTTTCGCCGTCGTCGATCAATCCGGCTGGTACTTCGATTGTTACGGCGTTGATTGGAGGGCGGTATTGTTTTTGGAGGATGAGTTCGGGGCCGGTGGGGAGGGGGAGGATTGCTACTATGCCTACGCCGTCGATGTCGGCGGTTTTAGGACGGGTGAGGCGTTCGGCTGATTCCCATGTTCGGGATGTGCCTGTTGGGTCGCGATATGTGATTCTGTGGTTGTTAGAGTGAGGTTGTGAGAAAGGAGGTGAGTGAGCGTACTTGGAGAGTTTGATCCATCGAGCTTCTTCCTTAGACTGAGTTTGTTAGCAATTGCTGATACATAGTGAGAGGGAGACTTACGAGAGGCTCAGTTGAAGTCACTTTGGCATTGAAAACAGACATTTTTAGTAAGTTGAAGGTAACAGTTTTGTTTGTTTGTTTGTTTTGTTTTTGTTTTTAGAAGTCATGATGAGTTGGCTACAGCCCCGCCGAAGTCGGTGAGAAGATGTGCAACGTCACACAAGCTACCCTGAAGCCAGGTAATTGGTGCGATAGAATCACTGACTACGTGTTTGTTCCTGAGAATTGACCTTTAAATAATGAATAAAATGCTTTCTGCTCATGGTCTCAATAGTAATATCACAGTGCTTTTGAATAAGTTTTGGCTGAGAAGACATAAACTTGTCATCAGATGAGGATATCTCTCCAGCTCTTTTCTGGTCCTGCAACCAGGTTTTCAGCTTCATGCACTTCTCGTTTTCTCAATATGCATGTCTCATTTGAGTCAATGCTTCTTTCAAGCGGCCATTGGGTATTGCTCTGTAGTCTAGCTTATAACTGTGCTTATTATAGTCATTGACGACAGCCTCAACTCATGCTTCGGAGTGGGGTGACAGCCTCATTCAAGCTGAAATCTACAACCAACAACCAAGACATGGCAATATCTCATCACAGCTTCCCCTCCTCCTTCAACCCCCTCCAAAGAGCCAAAGCAGCCAAACACTTCGCATCCCTCGCCCCCTCCCTCCAAGCCTCCTTCATCGGCACAACCTTCAACGTGATTTTCTCCCCATGCTCCCTCAACCCCGTCAACCGCCCACTCCACTCCCTGATCTTCTCCCTCTCAATCCTCATCTCATAGCTAAATATCGAAATATACTCATCACAACCCCCGGCGCTAGGAAACATACCCCTCGCAATGTCTTCACTATCCTGGGATGTAGCAAGCTCACTTAGATTCGTAAGCTCTTCTTCACGTATGGTGACACCGAGTTCTTCCTTGATTTCTTGCGCTGCTGCTCCGGCGAAACTACCAGCGTCGTCGACCATACCCGCTGGTAGTTCAGTGAAGCTAAGACTTCCGGCGGGAACGCGGGGTTGGACTGTGAGGACGACGTAGCGCTCTGAGGATGAGGGGGGGACGTCGGAGGGGATGAGCATGAAGAGCATTGCTACGCTGGGACCGCGGAGGAGTGCGGCTGCTGGGAGTGTTTCGCCGGAGTCGTTGGAGACTTTTGCTGTGAGTTTTATGAAGCCGATGCGTTTGGCACCGAAGAGATCGTAGGATTGGATTGTGACTGAGCGCAGAGCGTAAGGGTCTTTGTGGAAGGGGTGAGATTCATCGGATTGAAGACGGAGTGAGTTTGTGAGTGTATCGACCCAGTTCTGAGATTATTAGCAGTCTGAAATGAATATGGGTGAGAATCGTACGGTAAATGGCTTGAAAGAAGTGAGCTGCTCTTCTGAAAGTCCATCAGGAAGGCTGAGAGGAATGTTGTGGCTCTTGAGCGTGGTAGACATTGTGCGCGTGAAGTGGTGAAGAGACGGGGCTTGGTGAACGAGGCAGGTTGCTGAGAGTAAAAGTCTGGGATTTCTGCAGACGTTGGCGATGAATCTCATTTCTTGAGCTTAAATTTGGAGATTGCTTAGGATTGGCTGAAGTTTATTGAAGATTAGGTTGAGATGCGTGAGGGAGGGAGGATTTGGGTGCATGACGTAGAGGTCTCTGCCCCGCGATCATTTACATGAGGCTGAAACACCACAAAGAGAGTTGAGTACATTCACACACGCAAAGCAAATACCATCCTGGTCACATTCTCATTATGAAGCAGGTGAAGCATTGATTCAATTCCCGATTAAAGGTTCCGTAAGTGAAGCAACTTATCATAACTCATATCCACCATGCCTCATTCCGTAGGTACTCCCATAGGCCATCCCTCAAACCGCCCAGTAAACATCAATCTTGACCTTCTCAATATGATTAACCCACCCTCCAAACCTCGCCTTCGCCCAAATCGTAACAACATCTCCCATCTTCAAATCCCTCACAAACCACCCATCGCCCGTCTCCTCACCTCTCCCCTCATCAATCTTCATCTTCACAGCAGCTTCAGAATCAGGCTTGACATCATCGTCCCATGCCCATGTAATCACATGGTCTTGCCAAGCGCGGTGAGCTGTCTTGTTGCGAACGATGGTCCATTTCTCTTGATGTGCAAGAGGATGCGAGTATGAGAAGTTCTCGTTGCCTTTGGGAACTATGGAGGGGTAGAGGGGACGGAGGGCGCAGACGGGGAGGGGTGATGCCACGGAGGATGCTGATTTGAAGCGGACGTCGTATGTGCAATTTGGATCACCTAGAAAGTCAGCACTGCATTTGACACATGAGTTCCGTGACTTACAGGTCTGTTCGGCGTCAAACTTCTCTAGGCCAGCTTCAAACCACGTCCAAGCTCCGTTATACGTATGTCGATTCTCCGGTTCACCACCCCACCCCTGATCCTTACTCCGTATCGTAAAGACCACCTTTCTCACAGGATGGAGCAATTTGGGCGTAGGATAATCAGCCAACTTTGAAAAATACGAAGGATCATGCTCCGTCTTTAAAGGCGCCGGCTTGGCCTCGTTCAAGTCGTACGCCAACACTTCAGCGAGTGCTTTCTTGCCTTGAATGCCCGTTAGACCCACAGGAAACGACCGAAGCTATAAATGTCAGTCCTGTGCTATACCTAGGGGGGTGACTTACAAGGAATTTGTTCTCAGAGGGACTTTGACCGTTGACGCGAAGAGGGCTTGAGTGTTCGGCGATGTAATCAATCTCATTACTCGAATGCGCCCAATACTCCGCAAAGTCGAAAATAACATCAACAACACCCGGCGGAAGCTTCTTCCCTTTTGTGAGCATGATACGAGTAATAACCACATCCACAGGTGTCAACCCATCAGAAGAAGAAGAGCTCGTCTCATTGTCGTTCTGACTCCCTAGCGATAGCATAGTTCGCAAGCCGTGGATTACGTTCTGGGGAATGCTCTGCGCCATGATGAGATAGGCGATGATGAAGTAAAAAAGGTAGATCAGCATAAATCTAGGTAGAAAAAGAATTTGGAGTGTATTTATTTGAAAGCGAAAAAGACAGGGTTTTATGTATACACGGCGAAGGTGACGCGTTTAAGGCTTGTTCAGAGAGGCAGCAGCTTATCACCTACAGCTGCGGCGTTGAATTGACGTCAGAAGATGTACACGTGCCTCGGGGTCACAGAAAAAGCGTGATTCTCGAGTATTCCTCTTGTGATGGGTTTAAGCCTAAACTTAGACTAAGCCTTATGACGATGATCTTAAGATCTAGAATAATTGCATGCGAGAATATTTAGAAACCATTTCTACTTTAAGTTATGTAAGTTGTAGGTGGTAGCTGGAGATAGTTCCCTCTTTTCTTACACCTCTTCTATCTTATCACATCCTCATATCTTATCGCACGTGCAATGGCATCATCCCGACCCGGCGTCCAATCCCGTCCCCCGCGCATCGGAGCTCCATCAATTTCGCCGTCCAAGAATCCTCGATTACAAACATGAAGCTTAACTCCCCCCAAACGACAATTCCTCCTCACACTCACATCCCACCATGAGGTCCTCAAGATCTCTCGTACGATCAACTCGTCGACTACAAACATCTCTCACATATTCTCTCCTCCGCCCAACATGTCTCACCCCGAGGGTCCGAGAGCTTCACACCTCTACACCCCGGAAGTCGGGCGTCGCATCTAACCCAGCAATGTCGTTCCCCTGCCTCGACGCATTAGAATCCCGTTCCGCCCGCTTAACCCACGACGATACCGAACCCTCCTACACATCAGGCGCTACGCAGAACTATCTTTGCAAAGAACCCTTCATGCTAGATTGGGGCGGTATTCTTCCCGAGTTCAACATCGCGTATGAAACGTGGGGTGAGCTCAACGCCGATAAATCGAACGCTATTCTTCTACACACCGGTCTATCTGCTTCGTCGCATGCGCACTCTACAGAGGCGAATACAAAGCCTGGTTGGTGGGAGAAGTTCATTGGGCCGGGAGGACCTCTTGATACGAATAAGTACCATGTCATCTGCACGAATGTCATCGGAGGTTGTAACGGTTCTACAGGACCGAGTAGTGTCGATCCAGGAAATGGGGAGCGCTACGCAACGCATTTCCCGATCTTGACTATGGATGACATGGTCCGCGCCCAATTCCGTCTTCTCGACCATCTCGGCATCGATAAACTCTACGCCTCCGTTGGTTCGTCAATGGGCGGAATGCAATCCCTCGCCGCAGGTGTTCTCTTCCCCTCGCGCGTAGGCCGCATCGTTTCTATCAGCGGCTGCGCACGCTCTCACCCGTACAGTATCGCCATGCGCCATACTCAGCGCCAAGTCCTCATGATGGATCCAAACTGGAACCGTGGTTTTTACTACGGTAAAGTTCCTCCTCATGCGGGTATGAAGCTTGCGCGTGAAATTGCGACGGTTACATATCGATCTGGACCGGAGTGGGAGCAGCGCTTTGGTCGTCGTCGAGCAGACTCGAGCAAACCACCTGCGCTATGTCCCGACTTTCTTATCGAGACGTATCTTGACCACGCGGGTGAGAAGTGGTGTTTGAACTATGATCCCAACAGTCTTTTGTACGTCAGCAAGGCTATGGATCTTTTCGACCTGGGTATTGAGCATCAGCGCGCAACTCGTGCTCGTCGTCAAGAGCGTGAGAAGAACCTCGCTTCAGGAGAGGCTTCTCATCTTTCACCTGGCGCATGCAGTCTCACTCTTCCTAATAAGCCTTATGAGGAACAACCTGGATCTCACCCCGATCCCTCAGACGCAACTGTCGTGCCCGGCTCACGACCCCCTGTGGATCTAATTCACGGCCTCGCACCGCTACGCGATACCCCTACGCTTGTGATGGGCGTTGCAAGTGACATTCTCTTCCCAGCATGGCAGCAGCGCGAGGTAGCTGAGGCAGTCCGTCTAGCTGGAAACAGGAACGTAACCCATGTTGAGCTCAGCGAGGAGATGAGCATGTTTGGCCATGACACATTCCTCCTGGATCTCAAGTACATCGGCAACAACCTCCGCATGTTCCTAGGCTAGTATAGTAACTTGTAATCTATAGCAATGTAAAATTGGCCCAAGTCTTGGGTTTACGATGTC